TCAGGCACACAGTTGTTCAAGCTCAGTTACGTCACCAGAGGCACTTGAAATTGAAGGAGATACGACCCAGGTAATGCGGAAATGTGGGGATTACGCACTACAAGTAAACAATTAATAACTCTTTTTCTCCCTCCACCACCCCCCACACACACACACTTTGAGAAGTACGTTCGTCATAAAGTACGTTAACACAAGAATTATTTCTTCCGTTCTGCCACAGACAAATCAACTCTGGCGTTTTCGCCCTGGTTAGAAACCACGTAAACCTTGCTTTTCTGACCTCGGTGGAAAGAGACCAGAGAGAAGTCAGGAATGAAGTAAAACTGCAGATAAACTCCTTCACTGAGAGAACTTGTGAGCTGTGAAATATCTGGGGTGGGGTGTGGGCAGAAAAGCACTCTGAGAGCTATTTGTATAGTACAATTGTGCTCCATGACATTTAACCATTCATAAATTGGGTCTTGTGATAGAATTGGTTGTAAACCAAGCTAGCGTTTAATTCACCATGTTGTTGTTTTATCTCATGGACATGCAAGAAAATAGTTCTATAGTTTTCCCAAAGCAAACACCTCAATATGTAAAAAGAAGTATTTAAATAGACAACTTAGAAGAGTTTTCAACAAAATTGGAAGAAAATTAGCTCTTTTCTGGCAGTTTGCTCAGGGCGTAAGATCATAGGCTGATCTATCTATCTGATATAAAAAAAAACAGAAGTCGCTGGGAACATGCAGCAGGTCAGGCAGCGCTTTGGAGAGAGGAAAATGAGTTAACATTTCAGGTAGATAACCTTTCGTCAGAACTTGGTTATCTGATATAAACACTACCTTTTCTGGATGCTACAAATAAAGCATTCCCAAAATGTATTTGTGAAAGCCTTCAAGTGTCTTTAAGAGATGATATTAATTTAGTGATGCAGAAAATGCCTACAAACCATTTTACATAATCTTTACCAATTCAGGTTTAATTTTTCATGAATTAAGTTCATTTGCAACAACAAAACTTTTCATGGAGTCCAGAAGCTTAATGGTTAGCACGCTTGCCTCACGAATGAGAGGACACAGGTGCAATTCCCGGGAGGAACAAAATCTTAAGCGAGTTTCCTTACTCCACACACCTCTGTTTACTGAGCAGTAAGTAGGAACACAGTTGTTAGTCGATTGACGGATCACTTTCTGGGAATAACAGTACCTCCAAATTTTTTAAAAATTTGTTCATCAATCCATGACTGTTTGTGGGATAGTGCTGTGCACAATAGGCTACCGCATTTCGCCCACAAAATACACAACAACAACAACAACAACAAGATTCCATTTATAAAGCGCCTTTCACGTCAGGAGGACGTCCCAAGGCGCTGCACAGTTGGGTGATGACCCGAGCAGGGGGGAAATGGTCAGGGGAGGGGAGGGAGCGAGGAGGGGGAAATGGTCAGGGTGAGGGGAGGGATGGGAGGGAGCGAGAAGGGGGAAGAGAGTTGAGAGGGGAGCTGAAGGCTCGGTCAAAGAGAAAGGTTTTGAGACCAGCCTTGAAGGAGGAGAGGGAGGAAGCAAGGCGAAGGCACTGGGGGATAGAGTTCCAGAGCCTCGGGGCTGAGAGGCTGAAGGCCCAACCACCAATGGTAGGGCGATTGGGGCGGGGGACGTGGAGCATACCGGAGCCGGAGGAACGGAGGGTACGGGCAGGTAGGTAGGGGGATAGTAGGTTGGAGAGGTAGGAGGGAGCAAGGCCGTGAATGGCCTTGTAGGTGAAGATGAGGATCTTGAAATCAATCCTCTGGGGGATGGGGAGCCAGTGGAGGCGAGCGAGGGTGGGAGTGATGTGGTCCCGAAGCCTGGTGCGGGACAGTACACGAGCTGCAGAGTTCTGAATGACCTGCAGCTTGTGGAGGGAGGTGGCGGGAAGGCCGGCGAGGAGAGAGTTCCCATAGTCCAGCCTTGAGGTGACAAAGGCGTGAACCAGGGTTTCAGCAGCGTGAGGGGTGAGGTAGTGCCGTAGTCTGGCGATGTTCCGGAGGTGATGGAAGGCGGTGCCAGTTGTGGTGCGGATGTGAGGGAGAAAGGACAGCTCAGGGTCGAACAAAACGCCGAGGTTCCTGACTGGCTTTGAGAGGTGGAGAGTGCAGCCTTGGATGCTGATGGTGTCGGCGCCTGGATTCACTTGACAGTATATTCTGTGAAGCACTTTGAGTCAGCTCATCGACATGATAAAGCACCATATCAAAACCAAGGATACTTATTAATAAGGTATCACCTATGTCAGTTTAACCAAGTCCCTTTAAGACTAGTTTCTGTTTACCTGGCAGACTATTTCTCTAAACAAAGGAGCAATATCCAATTTAATCCAAATATATGTCCATCAAAAGGTATCCAAGTATTGTTGTATGGTTTCCAGTTCGATATCACCCAAAAGTATCCAGGTATTATTGTACATTTAGAGTTGTGTTTAACTCGTAGTCTTGATCTTCCTTCTTTAGAAGCTGGAATATGGTTCGTAACCCCAAGTTCCAATTTCTTCCTTCTCTCTCGAATTGATCTTCGTTTATACTGTTGATTAGGTGACTTTTCACCTATTGTCTTTTGCAAGATGGTTCCTTTGTAAAAACAAATGCAACATATTTCTCTCCAGCTATAGACCATTTTTCCTTGAGAAAATGACTGATAAGGAATGAAAGTAGTTTGTTGTTTATAACCAGTCTTTTGTTTCTCCTCCTTGAGCAAGGATCTTCTTCAAAGCTAGTCACAACCAGCTGCCCTCATATGAGATTGAACATATGTTTCAAATATATATAAACATCACAAATATAATTTGAGATATTATTTAACGCATTAATTACAGAATCCTACAGGGAGCAAGGCGGAGGGATTGGGGGAGAGTGTTCCAGAGTTTCAGGGCGTAGTGGCTGAAAGTCTGACCTCCGATGGTGGGGAGGAGGGTGCGAGGGATGAGCAGGAGGCCGGTGCCAGTCGAGCAGAGGCGCCAGGTGGTGGATTGGTGAGTGAGGAGGTAGGAAAGGTGGGGAGGTGTCAGAGAGTGAAGGGAATTGAACACAAGTGTGAGGATGTTATTTCAGTAACAACTTGCATATATATATATATATATATTTTTAAAAATTGGTCACTCAATGCATGACTGTTTGTGGGACACTGCTGTGCGCAATTGGCTGCTACGTTTGCCTACAAAATATAGTCAAATCACGTTACAGTATATTCCGTGAAGGGCTTGGAGATGTCTCGAAGACATGATAAGGCGCTATATCAAATGCAAGGATTATTATTATTATATAGCACCCTTCACATAGGATAAGCTCTCAGAGTGCTTTATAATGATGGGGTCAGACATCAGGCAAGGGAGAGGGAGATGGGGGTGACCATAGGTACAGTTGAAGAGGTAGATCTTTATACAAGATTTAATGACAGATAGAGAGGGAGCGAGATGGAGGGGTGGGGAAGGATTTCTAGAGTTATGGATGTAATAGCAAAAGGCTGGGCCACCGATGGTGGAGTGGAGAGGGTGGGATGCACAGCAAGCTCGAGTTTGCAAAGCCAGAGGAGACAACCAGGGGAGTGTGGTAGGAGAAGATCAGAGAGATAGGGAGTACCTAGGACGTGAAAAGATTTATAGGTGATGGAGCCTGGAGACGACTAGGGTGACAATATGCAGAATTTGGTTCGGGTGACTTTTCGGGCCACAGAGTTCTGGATTAGCTGAAGCTTACAATTCTCACTCGAATCTGCAAATCTAGTTTCTGAATGAACCAAAATAAAAATCTCTTTGAAACAAATTGACCTTCTTTACAATCTCATTGAATAATATGCAGCTGTGTTCAGGACACACCTTTTGGAGCATAATTTAGCTGAGTAACATTCCAATCACATTCATAATTTGTTTGGACATGAACTCATTTCTCACTTGCATCAGTTAATTGACATTTCCAAACTAGGAATTCTATTTTGCCTTTAGGTAACTGACAACTGATTTTTACTTGGATTCCTATTTGCTAATAAGATGTTTTAATTGATAGCCATAGATTTATAGAGCCTGACTTCATTATTTAATGGTCTTTCAATGTCCCTCACTTTTTCAAGGGAGATACTTTTTCAAGGGCGTTATTGTGATAATTGTCGTAATAGACACCAGAGATGTCAAATTCCTTCTGCTCATTAGCTTCTCAGAAATCATAGTAGCTTGGGCATGTTTGTCTAAACTTAGCCACTTCTATATACTTTGAGTTGATCTTTGTAAAACTACATATTTTCATGGGTGTAGTTCCTACAATCTGCCTTACAAAAGGCCAGTCAGGAGTTAGTACATACACAATGCAAGAAATATCCAATATAAAAGCACATAGTTTCTCTCCTCTCTTTCACCATCTTAGAGCAGACTTTCAGAAACAGGACTTTCTGGTTTTCAATACTAGAAATTCCTTCATACTTTGGAAGCATTTAACATTGACTGACTGATCAGAAGCTCAACCCCCCCACCGTCTTCCCATCTGACGTACTGTTGTTTACGGATGACTGAAAATACTTAAAGAGCATCTCTAAGGAATGTAGCGGTTTGGGCAAGATTGGTGAGTCACAAAACTTTGAACTTATAAGATCACAAGATTGGTTCGGATGAAGAAGGCCCTTCAGCCCAGTGAATTCATCTTGCCAGAATTCCCACCCTCCCTTCACAGCATCAAGCTGTTTCTTAAACCAGTCCAACACCCTGGTCTCAACCTGGCTTCCTGGTAACCTGTTACATTCATCAATTAGTCACACTGTAAATAAATAACTTCCTGTGTCTGACTGGGAATTGCCTTTTACAACCCAGAACCCTTGCCTTACTGTTCTGCTGCCTGCACGTATGTGAACATATTGTTGTGGTTTACTTTCTCAATTCCATTTAGAATTCTCTACACCTCTATAAGGTCCCTCTGAGACATCTCTTTTCAAGGCAGAAGAGTCACAACCAAAGAGTAAATGGACCATTTTGGACAAAGACTTATTACTCACATGTTGTATTGTTATGAAACGTTTATTAAATGTACATTGGTACCGCTTACCTTAAGGTAGGGCTTCTTAATCAATACTAAGACATTAATAGTAATATTATACAGTCACAGATATGAGGATAACACTGACCTGGTACCCATTTAATGGGCCACATACTACATGGGACCAGCCCAATCTAAAAATAACATATTTGTATTGAGAACACACGTGACAAAATGAGCTACACTTTTACTGACAAAATACCCGAATGTTTGCCCAAGGATTTGGTCGTGGGTGTGCTTGATAAAGGTTTATAATAGAATACAACTCCCAACTCTTCAGGCATAACTTATGCATTGATTCCCAATGAACGCACACAGGTTTCTTTGGAACTCTCACCATATTTCCCTTTTGGGCCGGAAAGACTCAGGTGCACGTTGATTTTTATTTTTCCAATATTTCAGAAGATTTTAGTGAATATCCCTCAACTGAAGACAAAAATCTCCAAAGTACAAGAGATCAGCAAGCATTTCATGTTGGAACCAAACAGCCACACACACTGATTATTCATTACTGACAGCCTGATGTGTGACAGAGCAGAGCTGTTCTGCTCGAGCGATGAGGAAATTGATGACAATGGGGAGTAGATCAGAGCATATACAATGGTTATGAACATCACTGCTCCATATCACCTGCCTGCGATGGTCGTATCTGTGTCACCCACCCACACACATACACACTAGAAGGACATTCTGGCAATCAGATCATGGATGACATCTAACAGAGGGTAAGGAAGCCACATGCACTGAGGCATGGGGTGGTAGGATTCAGGCGATTTCTAATATAGAAGTTCTATTAAAAAAACTAGAGAAAACTGACTTCAAAGACAAGACTGAATTCAACAATTTGTCAAAAGTCTGAACACTAAAACTTTCCATAAATAGAGTAAATACAGTCTCAGGTGGAATTTTGCCCTTGGGTGAAAATCGTGAAAACGTCCCCGATTTCCGGGAACAGTCGCTGGGTGAGGTATTGGGTCCCTGGGCCAAATTTGCACCATGTTGAGTTCAGCAACAAACTGAGCAAGAACAATACAATTCCAAGACAGATACACTCATCAGAGAAATACAGCCATTAATCCAACAAGCTTCTCCAGTACTGTCAGTATCAGTAATTGCGAGCTTTTTATATGCGTCCCTGGATTTGGTTTACAAAATATGGTCACTGTACCTATTAGTTTCATTCTTCACTCGGAAGCCAGTTTTTCAGTTCTTAAAAAGAACTGCTGTCTAAATTTTGGCTGTATCTGTGAATTATCCACAATTCTACATGATCTTAATGGATTTACAAGCGAAGACTAGATGGAATTTGTGGCTTAGAAATTGTTGCTTATTCCCTGGCATTACAATAGATAGGAATGTAAAACAAAAAGTTGCAAATTGGGAAATGATCAATTTTTGTTGGCATCTTGGATAAACCTGTTAGTTTTTAGCACGATATTTACATTGCTTCACAGGGTTTCTACAGCAATGCAAGAAAGCCCTCTCAAAGAAGAACAAAGATGCACTGGGAATATACAAAGGAATCCACCTTCACAGCAGGAGCCTGTGCTGACATAACAGAACAGCAGAAAAATATGTAGCATTGGTTTGAGCAATCTAAAAAAAGATTAGTGCCTGTAATCATCTTGTGCAGGTAGAATGCAGGAGCTGGAAGTCGATGGATCAACAAGGACAAGAGAGAGAGAGAATCCTAGCAAAGAACCCTGATCGTTGCTTATGTTGTTCTGACCCTTGGATACAAAATCTTCATGAGATACACTAGTGAACTAAAAAGCCAGCTGGCCACAGACTCAATACTACATCTGCAATGAGCTGCTGGGTCTAGATTGGGTCGGGGAAACGGGATTGTAGTTAGTTGGCACATTACCCCTCCTCTCCTGGTGCCAATGTCTGAATCCAGCTCCGTCTTCACTTGGAACCTGGTTCTTATTAAGAACTGCGGAAAACCAGCTTCCAGATTAAGACTGAACATGAGAATCTTTTTCAGTTCTGTGCCATCTTATAGAAACCCTTGGCTTTAGATATAAGGCATGAAATTGGCAACTTGTCAAAATGTGAAATTTAGTGCAAATTTAGGCTGATCGTTTCATTCATAGTGCACTTACTGTTACCAGAACCTTGTACAGTAATGTCACAAGTGCAGTACAACAGAATAAGCGTTCAACTGCACAAGTGTAACCTCAAGACTATTATTACTTCAGGTAAATCAGGGTCTAACTTGCAGTGTTTCTTCATGGGATACGGCGATAAAGAATCCAATTTGTACAAACGGGGCCTCCAGCCATACACCACGCTGACCAGATCACTGCGACTGGGATGGGAATTTGAACGGGATTCCTTATTCAGAAATCCCGCAAGTTAGACCCGAATAATGGATAGCAATTGGAACCATATCTGGCACCCCCTTCCCTCCCACCCTTCCACACCCATTTGATCTCCTCTAGGTGGGAAAATGTTGTTGGCGGGTGGAAGTTGTTGCTGTTTTTCCTATGAGGTGGCCCCTCAGCACCAGCGCTTGCGGTGCTGGGTCACGTGTCTTTCCACTTTGAAGGCTCCATTGCTGTATCTCTCGGAAGGATCCAAAGGCGGAATCTGTTGACCTGAAGCAAGCACATGGTAGACGTTAATATCATCCTGGAGCCCCTCTGCCTCATGACATACGCAGAGTCCAGTAGCTCAGTGGTTATCTCACTCACCTCACAAGCGAGAGACCTGGTTTCAATTCCTGGCACGGCCAGATGCTGGGCAGGTTACCTTACTCCACACGCCTCTGTTTAACTAGCAGTAATTAGGAACCCCATTGTTAGTTGATTAGCGGACTGCTTTTCTGGGGATAATAATATCTTTTTTAAAAAAAAGGTTGCTTCAATCCATGACTGTTTGTGGGACACTGCTGTGCTCAATTAGCTGCCACATTTCGCTCAAAAAATATACAATCAATTCACTTTACAGTATATTCTGTGGACTCTTTGAGACGTCTAAACCACATCGTAAGGCGCTATATCAAATGCAAGGATTATTATTATTTTATAACCCCTCTCTTGCCTCTTTCAAGGTCCACCTCAAGGCCTTCCTTTTCGACCTTTGCCCTCCACCCTCTCAATTGTTGAGCATTTTCTTCCTGTAGCGCTGAGAGCAATTCCAACTTCACAAGTTTATGCAAACTTTTACTCAATTCTCAAATTAAAAAGGAATTGCAACAAAGTCAACTCTCTGACCCAACCCGTTGTCCAGTGCCTTGGGGCATCCTCCTGATGTGAAAGGCGCTATATAAATGAAATGTGTTATTGTTATTTGCTGTTGGTGGCGAGTGATAAGATGATGGCATAAGGAACATTCACAAGACCACGAGATTGGTTCAGATGAAGATAGTCCTTTTCGGCCCATTTGATCCCATCCTTTCAGAAGTCCTACTCCATTCTCTTTTAACTAGAAATGTTTCTGGGCAAACTAAGTGTGAGGGGAGGGGTGGGGAGCAATATGGAGTGAGAGGAACTTGGGAAGAAAGAGAGATTGAGCACCACCTACCCAGCAGCAGTTTCTAGCGGTCTAATTTTCTAGAATTCTTAGAATTTCCTAAAATGTTCCAGCAGCCTGGCTCCACTGGCTCCCCATCCTCCAGCGGACTGAGTTCAGGATCATAATCCTCACATTTAACTACCTCCACTGTCTTGCCCCATCTTACCTTTGCAACCTTCTTAAACCCTGTCCACCCCACCAACAGCAGTCAAGCTTTCAGTCTATCTGCTCCCATTCAATAGAACTCCATCCTGGAGTCGCTTCATCTTACCCTTTGTTTCGCCTCCTTCAAGGTCCATCTTAAGACCTTCCTCTTTGACCACACCTACAATCATCTTCCTGATTGCAACCCCTTTTGCCCCCTTTCCTCCCGAATTCAACCCCTAGCTCATTGTAAAACTTGGACTCTGGAACTTCATCCCACAGTCCCTTCACCTCACTTCCTTCCTTGCCTCCTTCAAGGCCGGTCTCAAGACCGTCCTCTTTGATCGTACCTTCAATGGCGCTCCCATCTCTCTGCTTTCCCTCACACCCCTCCCCCATTCTCAAGTCCTGACCCCTGACTGTCCAGCGCCTTGGGGCGTCCTCCCGACGTGAAAGGCGCTCTATAAATGTAATTTTGTTGTTGTTATTAAACTGTCCAGCAACTTGGAATGTCCTCCAGACACATAAGGTGCTATATAAATACAAATTTTTGTTGTTGTAATTTGCATTGAGAGTTGCTCTCCATGGTACACAATCCACTACCAGTAGAAATACCTCATGACCTTCACTGGTGGTTAACTTGTAGCCTTGCAGAATAATATGGCTGTTGCTAACTATTAAGGTCTAACTCTCGATGAATAATGCAAGTTATCAGCCTGTGATCTTTAGTCCTTTGTCCTCACTGAGAGATCTTTTTCCACTTAAAAACATTCATTGCAATGATAACAACTGGGTCATTTGACTGCTCTTTCCTGAATGCACCAATTAAGGGTTATAATAGAATAATGACAGAGATTTCAATGCAGAAGGAGGCCATTCAGCTCGCCCTCTGGGGGTGTGTCTACCTGCTTCCCAGTACCCTGCTCTTTCCCCATTCCCTTTCATAATTAATGATAAAATAGAAGAGAATGTTAATGGTAATTCTTGCATTTTTGACATAGCGCTCGCCATTATCATGCCGACACATATCTCAAAGCGCTTCACAGGATTGTACCCTCAAGATAAAGCAGAGCATGGGCCAAGTTCGATGGAGTGCTACACCAAAAAAAAACATGCATTGACCACCCTCCCCCATTTCAGAATATCAACCTCTTCTGCCACATCAGACACTGGGCATCCTTACAGCCTTCGGGATTTCTATGCTCCAATTTGTGCCAAATTATGTTTTTTTTTAATTCCCACCTAATACTGTAGAATTGCCTAAAGCTAGTTTATTCAGCACCTTCACAGACAGCAGAGAGAGGATGGTCCTTTGTTTTCTCATGCTGGACCTGGATTCTTAACCAGGAGCCTGAGGTGGAATAACATCCTGCTGTACCAACCAGGCCTTGCTGGTAAGAACGTAAAGATACCGTTTGCTTTTGGAACTGTGGAAATAGCCCAAAGTCGGGTGAGGTATCACAGGACCTTCAACCTGTAACGTAACAGCACAAGGCATCAGCTTGCCTCACTTGATGATGACTCTGAGTCAGAAGGTGTGGGTTCAAGCCTGCACCACAGGTCTAGGCTGACATCCATTGCAGCAACTGGGAGAGCAAAGAATTGCTAGAGATTATGGGCATCAGAAACGACGTTGAGTTAAGGTCATGTCTACCGGGACCTTGTTTCAATAATGAAAAAGGCTTTCATTTAGAAAATAAATGTTATTTTTTTTGTGGTGAGCCAGGAGCTTAGACAGACATGGAAACTAGTTGGATGTTAAAGAGCCCACGCCACAATTTGAAACGAGAAGGGTGTTTCTTCTGGTGTTTTGGACAATTATCCATTGCATAAAATTGGTCAATCATCCCTCATTGATGCCTCCAGGCTCAATTACTCCAACCCCCTGCTTACTCCCAGCCTCCTCCTTACACAAGCTAACACAAACTTTAGCCCGTGTCCTCTCTACCCCACCAGGCTACGCAAGCCCATTACCCCCTATTGTCCCTTAGCTACACTAGCTCCTCATCTCCCAGCGGATCAAATTCAAGACTCTTCCTCAGTGGCATCCTGTGGACCTACTACCGTGGCCTCTCCCTCGGCTCAGCATCCACAGGCCCGCATTAGGTCTCGCCAGAAGACCTTCCTTTTCGACCACGCCTACGGTCACCTTCCCCCTCACTCTAGCTCGGCCTTGGGCTCCACCATTGTTAAGCGCTCTGAGATGCCGCCCGGCGTGGAGGGCGCTATATAAGTGCAAGTTGTTGTTGCTGTTGTTGCATCACTTCCCCTATCCACTCTGTTCCTTCATCAATGGGCACTCTTTTCAGCCATTTTGCCCCCATTCCCTGAAACTCCACTCACCTTGCCCTCCTTCCTTTCTGTCTGCAAAACACACCCCAAGACCTACCTCTTCGACCAGGCTTTCAGACGCCTTTCCTCTCCCCAGTTTCCCCACCTCCCCGTTCCGTTTTCCAGTCAATTGAGTGAAAGGTTTTGAGACATCCTCTGGATGTGAGAGGTGTTGTATGAATGCAAATTGTGGTAGAATTGGTCATTCTCCTTAATGATGTCCGGCGACTTTTCAGTGTGCAAAATGATTGACTGCCACAAAACACAAAATATTGCAGATGCTGAAAATCTGAAACAAAAACAGAGAGAGCCAGGAAAACTCAGCAGATCAGGCAGCATCTATGGAGAAAGGAAAGTGAGTGAACGCTTCGGGTCTATGACCCTTCATCAGAGAGTCGTGGACCCGAAACTTTGACTCACTTTCCTTTCCCCATAGATGCTGCCTGACCTGCTGAGTTTTCCCAGTTCTCTGTTTTTGTGACTGACTGCCACATTTGTTTACAGCAAAATCAGTCACTACATTTGATTGTAATTTCTGTGATCCACTTTACAACAACAACAAATTGTACTTATACAGAGCCCTCCACACAGGGTAGCGTCTCAGAGCGCTTAAGGTCATTTCTATTGGATGAGACAGTATAAAAAGGCAGAGGGAGAATTATACAGCATTTGACCAAAAGCAGTCAATATTTCTCACTAATGTCACAGGTGAATCTCCCCTTCCCATTGCTGTCACCAGGATGGAAACCTTGAATTTTTGTGCTGGGGGACAGAGACCCAATGAAGCTGAACGAAGCTGGACGTAATGGCTTTTTTTTGGTGGATGTGATAATAAGACACGCCATATTTCCCTCTGTCCCCTCCCACCATTTTTCTCTTTCTTAAATGACAAAACCTTTCATCAGCCAGGTTTCCAGTTGCAGGATGTCTGTGTATTGGGTGACTTAGGCAGAGGTGCAGCGATTAGATCAGTTACGTCAACTTCCATTGCAAGATCATGTAGCCATGTAAGTGCAGCCCTGCTTATGGTGTGAGCTAGGACACCATTAATCATTCATTGCTCTGTCAACAACACAGAACATTACCTTTCCTACATTACCTTCCACCTGGACCGCAGGACACCCAGTCAAACCAGCTAACGTCATATTTTGATAATATCACAGCCGCTTCATCAATGCTTACCTTTCGATGAAAGATTGCGTATCAAAACAAATGATCCTTGCATTTAATATAGCGTCTCAATAAGTTTTAAAATCATCTCAAAATGCTTCACAGGATCTTACTGTGTATTTGTGAACGAATGCTTCCACTAATTTTACATGCAATGTCCCAATAAGCAGCCGTGAAGTGAGGGACCAATTTTATTTGGGTGATTGTTGACAAGACAACCGAGAGAAACACCCTTCTCTTTTCAAATAGCCCATTGGGGTTTTTAATGTCTGTCTAACAGACAGATGAGACTGTAGCTTAACGAAGGACAGACCGCACCTCTGCAACGCAATGATTCCCCCAGCAATGCATTGATCTGTCAACCTAGACTGAGTTCAAAATCCAGAGATGAGGTTTGATAACCACCGTAATCTGATGCCATTTATTTAATGGCTGA